ATCAACCATATTAACCCTCCTTCATTTTGTTCATCCATCTTCCCCCCTCCCACAAACACTATGCCCCACAGGACCTATTTTACAGTCCTGTCTTTCATTTTGTTAATTCCAAAGTCAGTTTTCGAAGGGATTTCTCTATGTATCTCAGCTGTGAATCAACTGAACTTTGGTCAGTTCAGTCCCCTCTACTGCTCTCCCTTACCCCTCCCCTTCTACCCTGTTATTCAACAGCCTTCAGTATCTATCATTGTGTCATCCACTTGCTAAGTGCCTGTTATGTATCATATTCAAATCTCTCTGATTTGAGTGAGAGAAAGAAAAAGAAAAAAACCTCTACAATTCCCCATCAAAGAGATATCCCTTTCCAGGTACTACTCAATTGTCCTTCCTTGAAGGCAAAGCAGACTGAGGGAGCCAAGAATTTATCCTCCCACACTGAGCAGAATTTGTCCTTGCTAATGTCTCTGCTGACCTCCTACTGCCAAGTTCAGTGGCACTTACTTATCTGTTCTCTCACTTGTGGGTGACCAAGAAACTTTACACCTTGTTCCCTTGATGTTTCTTTTATCTCTTTTCTTTCTTCACATTCTTTCTAGAGCTTTCTTTGTTGTAGATATGAGCAATTCACATATTTGGGTATCTGCCTCTTTAGCTAGAAGATGGAAACACACTGTCAACCTTTCCATTCTTATCAAAAGCAACTGAGCCAACTTCTGTTAATGCATATTATCAACTCAGAGGTGGTTTACCAAGTGCTGTTCTGTTGTAACTAGTAGGTTTAATTAAAGTAATAAAATGCTACGATAGAGTTGCCAAATGGTGTCTTTTATGGTTATGGCAGAACGTTTAGTAATAGCATATGGGGTTAATATTTTCTTATTATTTATTTAATTGTCTTTGGTGGTACTAAGGCTTGAACTCCAGAGCCTTATGCTTGCCAGGCAGGTTCTCTACCTCCTGAGCTGCGTCATTTATAATTTTAAACGAATGCTTCTTATGCTCTTATGTATATTTTCATCCTTAAAATGGTTGAAATATCACCCATCATATTTTTGTGCACACTATTAGTTTACTTAGCAATATTTTCTTAAATTAAAGCAAAGATTTCAACTCAGCCCTTGTATGATTCATTCTGACAGCCTTGGGTTTTCACAAATAATATGACTTTGGAAGAAAATGATTTCTGCCCTCAAGGAATTTGAAAATCTAATTAGGAGCTTACTTTAAGTGCATTATTTTAGTATTTGTAAGGAAATCAAATTTTTAATAAATTATGTGCTCAATTTTTTCAAAATTGCTTATCCCCAGTATGTAATTAGAATAGCTCATATTATTTGTTTGAAGATTATTATTGTTGCTTCTGACCTTTCCTTTACAATGTCCTCTCTCAGATGAACAGCCATTCTTGGATGGAGCAGGCCTGTTGCAGGAGCCTTGGTGATTTTTGTCTAGCCCTTTGGTAACTTGGCTTGCCATACCAGCCCCATCATCTTCCACTGTCCACAGCTCCAGTCTGACTAAAGAATTTGCCTCTGCTTCTGTCACCTTGTCTGGCTTCCCCTCCAGGTCTTACTACTCTGAATGGTATCTCAATGGCAGGACGCCATCCAGAATACCATTCGTCCATCACTGTGCCTGAGTGTGGTAGGTACTCAATAAGCATATTACACTTTAAATAGACGGAAAGAGGGACATCCTCAACTCACAGAAATTTCACCCTGCTGGCAACGATAGATCACATATTGACTTCCTTTTTGGACCGCTTGTTGCCTCTTGCTTTATGTGTTTAATTGTCTGTATACTGGATGAGACCAGGAGATTTGCAAGGAAAAGGCAGTGTGTCTTTTGTTCACATGCTTCCTAAGCCCCTGGCACAGTCAGAGCCACTGCCTAGTAGACACTCTGAAATATTTGTTGAGTAAATGATTCAATGAATATCCATACGTACACTGTCTTTGAGGGAATCACCAGGGGCAATTTAAATCCAACTAAACTCTTCCAAGTACAGAAGGCACAAAGAAGAGGGGTAGAAGGAAGAGGTAGTTTTTCCTTCCAGAATTCTCCCATCTGATGAAGATGAGACAGCTCAGCATTGATGGGCTCTTTCCTGAAGTGCCAGATTCTCATTAAGAAATAAAATTCTCAAAAAAAAAAAAAAGAAAGAAAATTCTCAGGCTGATGAGCTACTGTGCTTGTGTACTAAAGAACAAACTCTACTGGGGGGATGGGAAGAAAGAACGAGAGAAACAGAAACCTCAGGAAGAGGGAGAGAGGAGAAGAAGAGGGACGGGATAGTGTGGTGGTAATATATGTGAGGGATGTGCTTTGCATGTGAAAACTGGAGGAGATTCTATATTAGTGAACAAAACCCTGCTATGGAGACCTCTTTCCATTACCAGCCCTGTCTGATGGAAATGAGTCTCTTCATGACTTGTGATGTAAATATTCATTGGAAGCCTGTGCACAGGGCAAGGAGCAAAGCTGTGTGTGTGCTGATTGATTTCTCACACGGGTGGGGAAGAAATGGATGCAGAACTGGATCTCCTCTTGACTCTCACCCAGATAGGACCTGGCTTCTTACAGATAGGAGACAAAACAAGAATTGTATTCACCTAATTTGGAATCATGCCAAGGAAGCTGGGCAAAGTGGCAGATGACTCTACAGCAGGAACTGGTTGATTTCAGCCTTTTAGAAACAGCAGGCATAATAGGGGAGAGTAATTGAATCACTTTCCACGTGGAGTTGAATGTGTTCTCCTCACTCCTTACAAGCTGTTTGTCAGCCTCTGGGGCATTACTGGGGGATGAACCACATTAACACGGCAGAGCTTGTCTGGGCTTTCCCAGGGAAACAGCTGGCTGAGCTGGCGCCAGCTCCCAGCCACTCTTGACTTCCTCTTCTCTGTTTGCAAGTGCCAAAAGCATGCTTGCTGCACATCCAGGAGCCAGCAGGCCCGGTGGGGACCAATCTGTGTTAGAAAGAGTGATTTTCTTCACAGAATCAACATTGTGGAGTGGTTGGGGGTGGGGTGGGTTTCCAAAAGAAGGAGGGAACCAGGACTGATGCCTTCAGACCACCCCTTGGCAGTCACAGAAAGAAGTTCACTAACTTGCCCTTATTCCCATGTCCAGATATCAGCAGAATTAGGTTTATCCTAGGTTGCTGGAACTGCAAATTTCAAAAGGATGCTTAAAGTTTCATGGCAAGAAGTAGTTTGGCTCCTGATTCAGCAGAAGCCAAGAAATTTGAGAAAAAAATCCCTGGCTTCCCAGGAACCCAGGGCTGCCTGAGCAGGTGATTCTAGAGTGTTGGCATTATAGACAGCCAGCGAGGCTGAGAATTAAATAAAAAGCATCAGACCCCTCCATGTCCCAAGCAGGTCCTTAGATGTGCATTTCTTGCCTTGAAGCAACAACTAGAAGGGAAAAAAGGCTTTAGCCCATGACAGATAAATCCCTCAAATGGTGGAGTGGGAAGGCAGTTCCAACTGCCACCCATTGAAGGGCCTCCCGAGACTGGGAGGCTCTCTCACAAGTGCTCCAGTTGTCCACAGACGACCTTTCTATTCAGCTACATCCCGTCTCCCGTGGACCAGCCCTAGCTCCGATCAGGAGTAAGGTGTTAGGCCCTGATAACTTTCACGATGCTAGTAGAGATCTTTCCTATGGGATCTGAGTGGGATTGACCTGGGAATGCTGAGGCTAAAATGGGCACCATCAGAAGCCTGCCTGTGGGTCTCCCAGCCCCACAGGTAGCCTGTTCATGGAGTCTTTGAAATGGGGTGAGAATGTGTGTTAGAACAAGGGAGAGCTGGAGGCAGTGCTTTCCATCTTTGTAGACTAATAAATTTAGTTTGCTTCAACTGAAGGCCTGACACAGGTGAAGTCCTAGCTGGATGGCTCTGACCTCCCTTTTCCAGAACCTCTGTCATCTAGACCATGGTGGCCTCTCTGATTGCCTTGTAATCCTTCCATCTGCTTGACCCTCTGGAACCCTGACGTGGTCACATCAGCCTCTGTGGAGTAAGGACAGATACATGGTGACAGTGGAGCATCTGTGTCCTTGCCAACTTGGAAGTTTCTCCTGTAATTCATTCCACCTGCTCTCTGCATTCAGCTGCCCCAAAGGGCAGCTTGCTTGTCACCATGTGGCAAGAGACCAGAAGGTTTGAAAGACGGTGACTTTCAGTGTTGCTGAGAGCCCCTTCTCGAGTAGGAGAGAAAGACTGCTTTCTTTTGAGCATATACAGTAGGTGCTCAAAGAATACAATACTTGATGAATGACACAAGTAGCATTAGGAATGTCACTGCTCATGTCCTGAGGTTCAAGTTGAAGATCTTCTGGGTTCTTGTGCTTTATTTCTGAATCAATTTTAGTTTTAGACAGCAAAGTTTGTGGATCCAGCCCACAGGATAGGTGTCTGTCAATATGGCCACCCAGGCAGGAGGGTGAGCCCTGGACAGGCACACAGAGAAAAACAGAAATGCATGGTTCCCACTCAGAAAACCTTTCTTCTATTCCAGCTGCAAAATGCAATTCATATGGAGAAAAATGGCTTAAAAACATTTAGAAAGTAGCCTGATAACCAGGGGAGAAAGATTCAAACGCAGACTGTTGGAACAGTGTGGGGAGGTGTGGGTTTGAGGGGGATGACAGTGGTAGCAAACCCACATCCTGAGTTTCAGACTCCCAAATCCTTGCTGGAACTTATCTGATGCCACCTCCCTGTGCATGTGTGCTTATTGTGGAGACCGTTTTTGAGAGCACCCACTCTGTCCTGAGCACCGTGCAGCATTAACTCTCACGGTTCAGAGGCAAGGCAGGCCTCATTACCCCACTTTGCAAATGACAAAGGCTAAGGTTTGAGAACTTGAACCTGCTTTCCCTGAGTAGCAGAAATACAGGGAGTCCTTATCTCTGTTTTTAAATGCCCACTGCTTACCACTCCCACTGCTGAAAGCAGTTCAGAGAGGGATAAATTTTCTACAGAACAGAAATCATGGGGTCTCTCCTGACTCTTGCTCTGTTTTCTGCTTCAGGTAATTTGTTCTTGGTGAGTCTGGCATTGGCTGACCTGGTGGTGGCCTTGTACCCCTACCCACTGATCCTGGTGGCCATCTTCTATGATGGCTGGGCCCTGGGGGAGGTGCACTGCAAGGCCAGTGCTTTTGTGATGGGCCTGAGCGTCATTGGCTCTGTCTTTAACATCACCGCCATTGCCATTAATCACTACTGCTGTATCTGCCACAGCGCGACCTACCACCGGATCTGCGGACGCTGGCACACCCCCCTCTACATCGGCCTCGTCTGGCTCCTCACCCTGGTGGCCATAGTCCCCAACTTCTTTGTGGGGTCCCTGGAGTATGACCCACGCATCTACTCCTGCACCTTTATCCAGACGGCCAGTGCCCAGTACGCAGCGGCAGTGGTGGTCGTCCACTTCCTCCTGCCCATTGCCCTGGTGGCCTTCTGTTACCTGCGAATCTGGGTGCTGGTGCTTCAGGTGCGCAGGAAGGCCAAGTCCGAGAGCAAAGTGCGCCTGAGGCCCAGCGACAGGCGGAGCTTCCTAACCATGTTCGCCATCTGCTGGGCCCCCCCTTAACTGCATTGGCCTGGCTGTGGCCATCAACCCCGAAGGAATGGCTCCCCAAGTCCCAGAGGGGCTCTTTGTCACCAGCTACTTCCTGGCTTATTTCAACCGCGGCCTTAATGCCATTATCTATGGGCTCCTGAACCAGAACTTCCGCAGGGAGTACAAGAGGATTCTCCTGACGTCTGGAACCCGCGGCGCTGTGTGCAGGGTGGTTCCAAGGGCAGCCACGCCGAGGGTTTACAGAGCCAGGTTCCACCTAGGGTTCATGATTGGCACCTGGTCCCGGCAGATGCGCTCTAGCCTGGATTGAGGCGCAAAGCCACAAAAGGGCAGGAATGAAGCTGCTGCAAGGGAGTGGGGGGAATTAAGCAGTCATTGTGTCACACAGTCCTGTTCGCATCCCAGCCTGTGACTGCTGGAACCTCACGCTGTGCTCAGGCAGCCCCCGGAACCCTTGGTTCTGCCTGTTCAAGGGATATCCACAGAAACTGGACCTGGCAGATCCTCTGGGTGGCATGTTGGAGCACTTGGAGCATTCAAGACCAAGGAAGGAACAGAATGAGAAAAGCCTGGGGCAGAAGAAGTAGCTCCTTCCTATGTGTTCCCTTCATCCTCCTGCCTGACATACTTGATGGTTTCTCCCCTTCTGCTCATGGATGGCAGGAACAGACCTCTTCCTATTAGCTGGGATAAAAACAAGGTCTGCCAAGGGGGAAGGTGAGTGACTGTAGGGGACCCAAGAGGCAAGACAGGTACAGGTAGCAAGCATTGACCCCACACACACACACAAGCACACAAATGCACACATATGCATGCACACACACACATACATACACGCATGCACCACAGACATGCCATGTAATACATATACCACACAACAAAGTCACCATACTATATGTGTATACATATAGACAGACAGGCTCCACATTTAACTCTGTTTACCACATCACAGACTCATCAACCACCCCCCCCCCCATTGTCCCACAAAGTCTGCCCCCTTCCATTTTTGGTTCCACCACACTCAGCCATCAAAGGAACTCATGTCTGGGTCTAGATTTCTGACTGTGTTGACACTGGAGGTGATCCAACACCTGGGCTCACACCTTAACCACAATGGATCAGATGTGACACTTACACACACACACACACTCACAGCATTTGTACTATCCTTTACTCTACCTGTTCCTTCTCAGTCCCCTTCATCTACTTCTGAAAAGCTAGAGTTGCAGGAGTTGCAGTCCTCTTGCAAGGTTGCTTTTTGCTAAGTAGGAAGGGCTTCCCCTGTCAATCAGAGTCATTTTGGGAGTATTTATTTATTTATTTATTTATTTATTTTAATTTTTATTTTATTCATATATGCATGCAATGTTTGGGTCATTTCTCTCCCCTTCCCCTATCCCCTTCCTTACCCCCCCCCCCGCCCTCTTCCTCTTCCTCCCTACCCCCTTGTTATCCGGCAGAAACTATTTTGCCCTTATCTCTAATTTTGTTGAAGAGAGAGTATAAGCAATAATAGGAAGGACCAAGGGTTTTTGCTGGTTGAGATAAGGATAGCTATACAGGGAGTTGACTCTCATTGATTTCCTGTGCATGTGTGTTACCTTCTAAGTTAATTCTTCTTGAACTAACCTTTTCTCTAGTTCCTGGTCCCCTTTTCCTATTGGCTTCAGTTGCTTTAAAGTATCTGCTTTAGTTTCTCTGTGTTGAGGGCAACAAATGCTAGCTAGTTTTTTAGGTGTCTTACCTATCCTCACCCCTCCCTTGTGTGCTCTCGCTTTATCATGTGATCAAAGTCCAATCATTTGGGGAATATTTAAAACATATGGATCACAGACTGTATGGCAGGGTGGAGAATGTCTGTGAGTTCTGACTTCTGCTTGGTATTTCTCATCTGCAGACCTGCCTGAGCACCTTGCTCTGTGAGTGCAGCTAGCTTACTCACCTTCATTCCGTGGTTGTAACTGCCATCTCTGCCTGAAGGTCCCTTCCTGCCCACTACACATCTCCATCTAACACTTACTGGGTACCTCCATGCCAGTCACTGTTGTAAGGAGTTTTGATTAATCAATATTCAAATTTAAGCCCCACAACAATCTTATGAGCGAAGTACTAGTATTTTTTATTTATAGGTAAGAAAACTGAGTACAGGAAATTATGTAATTGACTGAAAGTCACATACCTAGTCAGGTGGAGCCAGGCTCTGAAACCAGGTGATCTGACTTTTGAGCCTATACTCTTAACTATTAGCTATCTCACCTCCCCTCCAACTCACATATCCTTGACTGACCTACCCTAAGACCTACCACATCTTGGGTTTCCTATTTCAGTTAATAATAACCATCTAGCCACTCTCCCAGTAAGGAATTTTAGTCATTTCCCTCATTCATTTTCTTTAATCAATATGGATGATTTTGCCTTGAAAATTCTCTTCACAAACCATGTCAGGGATGAGGGTGTATCTATCTCAGTGGTAGAGCACTTGCTGAGGATACACAAGGCCCTGGGCTCACTCCCCAGCACCACAAACAAACATATGTGTCAGAGACATTGAGGATATAGACAGTCACAAGACCCTACCTTAACAAACAATAAGCACCTGGATATACTAGAAATGGGGGGGGGGGGATTGAGGAGAGGGGGGGGGAGGGAGGAGGTGGCCCAGACAATGCATACACATGAAAATAAATATAAAAATGATAAAAGGAGAAAGAAAAAATAAATAAATAAAAAAGCAAAACTTAAAAAGACAAGGATCTTCCCAAGGGCTACATCACCCTGCATTTATTCTTTAATAGTGAATTAACAAAATGGATCAAGGAATTTAATATCAGATCCAAAACTCTGAAGTTGGTACAGGAAAGAGCAGGAAACAATCTGGAAGTAATAGGCATAGGCAAGGACTTCCTCAATAGAACCCAAGCACTTCAGCAACTAAGAGAAATGATGGACAAATGGGACTTCATAAAACTAAAAAGCTTCTGCACAACAAAAGAAATGGTCTCTAAATGGAAGAGACCACCCACAGAGTGGGAGAAAATATTTGCCAGCTATACATCAGACAAAGGACTGATAACCAGAATATACAGGGAATTGAAAAAAACTAAGCTCTCCCAAAATTAATGAACCAATAAGGAAATGGGCAAGTGAACTAAGCAGAACTTTCTCAAAAGAAGAAATTCAAATGGCCAAAAAACACATCTCTGGCCATAAAGGAAATGCAAATTAAAACCACACTAAGATTCTACCTCACCCCTGTTAGAATAGCCATCATCAAAAACACCACTAACAACAGGTGCTGGTGAGGTTGTGGGGCAAAAGGAACCCTCATACACTGCTTGTGGGAATGCAAGCTAGTGCAACCACTCAGTAAAAAAATTTGGAGGCATCTTAAAAATCTAAACATAGATCTGCCATATGATCTAGCAATCCCACTCCTAGGGATATACCCAAAGGAATGTGACACAGGTTACTCCAGAGGCACCTGCACACCCATGTTTATTGCAGCACTATCACAATAGCTAAGCTATGGAAACAGCCAAGATGCCCCACTACTGATGAATGGATTAAGAAAATGTGGTATTTATACACAGTAGAATTTTACTCATCCATGAAGAGGAATGAAAGCTTATCATTCAAAAGTAAATGGATGAAACTGGAGAACATCATTCTGAGTGAGGTTAGCCAGACTCAGAAGACCAAAAATCGTATGTTCTCCCTCATATGCGGACTTTAGACTTAGGGCAAATACAGCAATGTTGTAGGACTTGAGTCACATGACAAGGGGAGAGCATATACAGGAGGTACGGGGATAGGTAAGAAACCCAAAACATGAAAGTATTTGATATCCCCACTGCAGAGAAACTAATACAGAAACACTAAAGTGACAGAGGTCAATTTGGGAAGGGGATCAGGAACTAGTGAAAAGGTCAGTTAGACATGATCCGATTGGGATGTAACACATTTGTACATGGAAGCAATGCTAGGAATCTCTCTGCATAGCTATCCTTATCTCAGCTAGCAAAAACCCTGTTCCTTCCTATTATTGCTTATGCTTTCTCTTCAACAAAATTAGAGATAAGGGCAGAACAGTTTCTGCCTGGAAGGGAGGAGGGGGGTGTGGAGGAAGGGGGTGGGGGGTAGGGGAGAAATGACCCAAACAATGTATGCACATGTGAATAAAATTTTTTTAAAAAATAGTGAGTTAAAAACTAAATATTCCTGGCCCACAGCATGCAGTCATTTATGAAACTGCAACCTTTGTACAAAGAGCAGCAGCAGGTAGCTGGGAAGATCTAGGTCCACAAGGAATTCTGCACATGGCCCCAGGAGTACCTGGGAACAAGCAGGTTGCATTTCCCAGGATCCAGAGGATTGATGTCACAGTTCTCACGGTCAAAGATTCCATTCCACAAGTGCTTTGCCAGCTGAAATGCTGTTTTTCATTGGGCCAATGTGACTTCTTCCCCATGCCACATGTAAACTTCACTGCTAAAATCAAACACCAGGACCTGGGGAAGAGACACAAAAGAATTTATTAACTTTGAAAACACGCTCCAGTGGAATCAGGCCTCTGCTGACAGTCAAATGGATCATGATACAAATCCCAACGGGGCAACCAATATAAACATGAAAAGTAAAAGATCCTATCAACTGCATCACCCTGTCAAGCTCTCCTTGCCCTAAGTGTTTCTCTTCTGAACTCTCAAGCCACTTAAAGCCTTTGATTAATGAAAGTTGTTTAAATACAAAAGGAAAGAAAGAAAGGAAGGAAGGAAGGGAGGGAGGGAGGGAGGGAAAGAAAGAAAGAAAAGAAAACTCACCAGGATGTTTAAAAAAAAAACCTAAAGGAATTAAAACCTAGAAAATGATGGCAAGTCTTTTTTAGGCAGATTGTGGGGGAAAAGAAATCCCTCTAGATGGTAGGAGAAGCCAATGGGTTTCTTGTGTATTTTTCTTAAAAGCACACATGAGAGCTATCAGAATTTTGACTGTGTTATACATTGTTGCTAAGTAGAAGCTCAAAGCTGTGCAGTAGATTGATCTGAAAACTGCAACATTGTACATACCTGCTCCCACTAACCCCTACCTCCGCCCTGGCAGCCACCATTCTGCATTCTCCTTTTATGGGCTTGATTTCTCCAGATACCTCCTAAGTGGGATCAGGCATTATGTGTCTTCCTGTGGCTGATTTATTTTGAGTTTTCTGTCCTCCAGGTTCTTCCATGTTCACATAGGTGGGATTTCTTTCTTTGTAAAGGCTGAATAAAATCCCATTATAAATAAATACCACATTTTCTTTT